CCCTGACCCCACCCACCCCCCACCCCTCCCCAGCCCAGGTCCGTGGAAAAATTGTCTTCCATGAAACTGGTCCCCGGTGCTAAAAAGGTTGGCAACGGCTGCCCTATAGCCACTAAAAATATAGCATGTGGTGGTTTCTGAATGCACCGATTTGGAAAGATAAGAGTCTGTAAGATATTTAAGTGGAAAAAGCAGACTATCCAAACATCTGAAATAATGCAAATTTTTGTTCTAAAGAAGGAAAAAACTACACGTACATAGGTCTGTATATGCATAGAAAACAATCTGTAAGGATACGTACCCAGCTGTGAACAGTGGCTACCCCCGTGGAGTGGGATCGGACAGAGTGTCTGTCACTTCTTCATACACTTCTGAACTGATTGACTTTGTAATAACGAGTATGTATTTTTTCTGCTATTAAATGTGTGTGAGTGTGTGTGTGTGTGTGTGTGTATAACTTTACACAGAGAAGGTAAAACAATTAGTCTCTAAATATATTTTTAGCAGAAGTAGGATAACTAGTTTTTAAGACTTATTTCAATTTTAATTAGATTTCAGAATTAAAAACCAAAAACCAACAGTTGGATGTGGAAAATATGGAGCTTAGCCAAAAAAATTCTCAAAATCAGAAAGAACTGCAAGAAGTTAATCAACGTCTGGCAGAAATGCTAAGTCAGAAGGATAAAGAGCCAGGACACAGTACATGTGAGGAATGGGAACAAGAGAAGTCTAATCTAAAAGAAGAACTGGAACACTGTAAAGTGCAGGTATGGTCTACAGCCACTCTACAGCCTTTCTGGAGGAAATCCCAGTAAATAAAAGAAATGCTTATATTTAATTTCTTATACATAAAGTCCTAATTATTAAAACAGTGTGGTGTTCGCACTTGAATAGACAGATAAGTGGAAGAGAAAGTCTAGAATTAGACCCAAATACCTATGGAAACTTAGTATATAACAAAGGTAGCTTCTCAAATCCCTGGGGTAAAGATGGAGTTTTTAATAAGTGGTGCCTAGATAACTGGGTAGACAACTGAAAATAAAATTAGATCCATATCTTATACCATACATAAGGGTAAACTCCAGTTGGATTAGGAGTCTAAATATAAAAGGTAAAACATACAAGTACTAGTAGAAACTGGGCAAATTCATCTTTAGGCTTGGTGTAGAGAAAGGCTATGTAACTATGACTCATAAACTAGACGCAAAAAATGACCTGATTAAATTTTTTAAATTTTTGCATGACCAAGAAAATACCATAAACAAAGTCAAAAGACAACTCACAAACTGGGAGAAAATATTTGCATCATATACCACCAAGAGTGGAGCTAATATCCCTACTATGTAAAGAACTCTTAAAAGTCATAGGGCTTAGGAGCAAAATCTGATAGCCAAATGGGAAAAAATACATGAACAAAAATTCACACACAAAAAAAAGAGATAAAAATGGCCCTCAAACCTTGAAAAAATGTTCAAAATTACTCAGAATTAGAAATGCAAATAACACTGATATCTCATTTCTCACCTATGTGATTGGCAACAATTTAAAAATATAACAACATATTCTGTTGGCAAGGGTTTGGGAAAACAGGCACTTTCATACATTGCTGGTGGAATATAAACTGATACTGTATTTATGGAAGGAAATTTGGCAAATCTAACAAAATTACATATGTACTTACCTTTTGTCCTAGCAATCTGACTTCTAGGAATTTACCCTAAAGATATTCCTCTAAAAATATGAAAATTCACTGCAAAGCGTTGGTTATTCATTGCAGCATTGTTTGTAACTGCAAAATATTGGAAACAACCTAGATGCCCATACATCAGAGAGTGTTGGATAAATGTAATGGGTATAGCCACACATGGAGTAGTATTATACAGCTATAAAAAAAGAAAAAGAAAGAATGGACAAATGAGAAAGATCTCTTGGTGTGAAATGATTTCCAGGACATACTGTTAGGTGAAAAAAGAGCTCAATAGAGTATCTAAGATAGTATGTCTCCGTCCATGTAAGAAAGAAGGGGATATTAGAAAATACACATGTATTTGTGTAAAAGAAATACGGGAATGATAAACCAGATAACTAAAGAGATGGTTACCTGTAGAGGGCGAGTGGGAAAGGGATGGAAGAGAGGAATGGGAATGTGATAGAAGGAATGAGGAAGGGAGTGACACTTCTGAGAACATTTTCACATAGCTCTGACGCTTAGAACCATAGTAATGTTTTACATACTCTTCGCATACCCCCTCAAATAAACACACAATTAAAATCAATCCAAAAAACAAAGATGGGGGGGGTACTAAAATGGAACACTAACAAATAAACCTAACTATTGTAAATGGATAACAGCTACAATGTGGAAGAAAATAAGTAATTTAGAAATTAGTATCTTGACTGTATACAGTAGGGTTAAGACAAAAAGAAATGTACATAAGGCAATAATAATCTAGTCAGTAAATGTGTTTCTCATGGGGGTGTATGTTAGTAATTCTGGAACTACTCTGTGTACACTGGAATTGAACAAATAAGTAAACGTATTGTAGATAATAACTGCGTTTCTCATTTTTGGAAAAGGAAGTTGCAAGTGGGGAAACTGAGAAGGCTAAAATGAACCCTCTGATATTGGATTGGAATTTGAGGTATTAGTATAAACTCGTATTTCTTAATATATAGACAGATAGATAGATACAGAGATGTAGATGTGTGTATATGGATCGAGTTCCCAGATCTTGGTTTCTAAACATTATTCTCGTATAAGAAGAGCCCGAGCTACTTGGAAAAATGATTGCTCCCAAGACTGGGGCAGGATCAATTCAAGATAAGCCTGGAACATCTCATGGTGTCAGAAAGAAAAAGGTGCCCCGCAAAAGATGGGGCATGTCAAAAGGACAGGGCACAACCTGAGAAAGCTCCTAATTGCCAAAGCTGGAATAATCTGATCAACAAAATAAAGCATAGCATAAAATAAGTATAATTATAAAATGCAAAATAAAATATCTATAGGTCCACACTGTTATTAAAAAAAATTGAATACATAAATAACGGGGGGAGAAATAACAGCTCTTCCTTACAAGAGAATTCCAATTAATACTTGTAGGAAGAAAGAAGGAAATAGAAAGTCTTCATTAGGCAAACACCAGAGTAGTAATTGTTGTAGATAAAATCCACTGATAGACACTAAAATCAATAAGCAAAAGCTTAAGGAACAACACTATTTGCATGGTCTCGAAACATGTCCCCCCAGAGAAAGATAGTTAACTTTACAGCAAAGAAATCTTCAAAAACGAACTTAGAAATCATGTTGATGCCATTTTAGTGGAAAGTCTATTAAAAGTAGTTTGGGTTAGTTCCACTGAGTATAAGGACAAATGATATTAAACAGTGTGTCACTGAATTTGTACTAGTGTTTCCTTAATGCTGCCTTTTGTGAACTTGCTAAGTTTCCCCAGGCTAAATGAATATGTGTATTATATGACTTTTTAAATTTTTTCTTAGTCTTCCACTTTAGTGTCTTCTCTGGAGGCAGAACTTTCTGAAGTTAAACTACAAATTCACATTGTGGAACAGGAAAACCTCCTTCTCAAAGATGAACTGGAGAAAATGAAACAAGTAAGATCGTGTGTTGCTTAGGTGGGGACAGGAGGTATGGGGGGGGCTCATAGAATAATATGCACCTGATGGTCTGACTTTTCTAGCCACCAAATGTCCTTTTTACTGGGTCCTGTTAACTAGCTTATTACTTAGTAAAGTTGAGGGCTTGCAGTACAAGTCTATTTATAAGGGCTCCTATTGCTAATTCTCTAAATGTTGTTCTAGTTATGTAACTTACATGTTGTAGACTGACATTCTGTTACTATAAATGAACCATAACCACTTCAGTTTAAGAAATTTGGGCTTCCCTGGTGGCGCAGTGGTTGAGAGTCCGCCTGCCGATGCAGGGGACACGGGTTCATGCCCCGGTCCAGGAAGATCCCACATGCCGCAGAGCGGCTGGGCCCGTGAGCCATGGCCGCTGAGCCTGTGCGTCCGGAGCCTGTGCTCCACAACGGGAGAGGCCACAGCAGTGAGAGGCCCACATACAGCAAAAAAAAAAAAAAAAGAAAAGAAAAGAAAAGAAATTTGTTGCTCTACCTTCTCCCGGCCAGGTGTTAAATAATATAAATTTGTCTAAAAAGATGGTGACTTTCCTACTCATAACTTTAATAACTATTCACCCAGATTTGTGAGACAACAGGTGAAGCTGGTCCCTCATCATCCCTTTTTCTCATAGTGAGTTTGAGGCATCTATCTTGGGCAGAAGAGTAGATTCTAGAACATTATCAGGGAGGCAGTCTCACCTATGAATTTGGCTTTAAGAAGCACATTTCAAAGTTTCAAACAAAGACCTAATTTTAAGTATAAAAGAGGGTTCACCTTAATATATTCTGAACGTTGTCCAATTTTATTCTTTATTCTGAATTTTTCAATGAGCACATGAATCCCTCAGTTTGAGCAATCCTGATTTACACTAGGAGAATTTAGTTTTTCCATTTTATTTATTTGCTTCACCAAAGGATTACTTTAATATTATGATATTCTTAGATTAAAAAATTCTCTTATACCTATTCAGCCTATGAGCATAAAGGTGTCCTTCTCTGAATGCTGAGTCTGTACCACTGAGTGTGTTATGTTCATGTTGATTCCTGATTGACACCTGTAAGTCTTGATTTCCTAATAGGATTATAAGACTCTCAGGGAATTTGTATCTCTTACAGTGCCTAATACAGTACTGGTACCCGATAGGTGCCAGTACTTTTCAAGTCAGATGCTGCTATGCAAAGTTTATCTGTTCTGCCATAGCAGAAGCTGTCTGTCCATATAAACATTCCAGAAGTTAAAAGGCTCTTCTGTGGTATATAAGTATTCCAGAGCTGTTATTACTAAATTCATCCTAATTAACTTGGGCATACTTTTCTCCTTTATCATTTTCTGTCTGTTGTTCAACCTTTCAGATGATAATGGTGGATTCCAAATCCATAGCATGGGAAATGTATGCTTTGTGATTTTGCCAAGCTAGGGATCAGAAGAAAAGAAGCTGAGTTGGGACTAAAACAGTATGATGAGGACATCATTTGGCACATTTTTATTGCATATTTTTTTGAAGCACTGATATAAATAGTGAGGTGGAAAACAGTGAGCCCTTTTGCTTTTGGTGGGCAGTTGTTCAAGGCACCTGGACTCTTGGATCACAAGAGTTAAGATGGTGTCAGCCCATTGTTGATTCCACACAGCTTGGACCTAGAAAGCCTGTGCTGCTCTGTATGACATAATAATTTCTTGTTCACAAAACATTTTTATTTGTATTATCTGTTGCATTGAAAAGAAACTCGAATAGCATCAGCAGTAGTCACATACCAGTCTGTAGACATCCAAAATGATACCAGGCTTTGTGAGGGTCTGGGGATGGGGTAGTGAGCAAAGGAAAAAAGGCCTTTGTTAACGAATGCCCAGGTTCTTTACACTTTCCTTCATCCTTCTGACTTATTTAGATTTGTAAATTATGCTGGATTTGTTGCCAGTTGAAGACAAGGTTCAATCCTTAAAGTCTATTTTATCATACTATTCCTAAAGCTAAATGTAAAAGAACTTCAGGTAAAACGTTGAAAGATGGCTGTAAAATCATAATGACAATAAATAACTGAAAATTGAAAGCCAAGTGAAGTAGAGGGAAATTGAAAACATATGAACGATGGGAAGGGTTAAGAAGTGTAAGAAACAGTCAGTCTCCTTAAAGCAGTGGCTGTGGGGAGGTGGAAATTGCTCCCCCACCCCAAGACATTTAGCAATGTCTGGGGACATTTTGGGTTTTCACACCCAGTGTATGGGGAGGTAGGCTGTGCTACTGGAATCTAATAGGTAACACCAGAGATGCTGCTAACTATCCTACAGTGCATAGGACAGTCTCCCACAGCAAGGAATTATTACCTGCCCCAAAATGTCAGTAGTGCTAAGGCTGATGATGAAAAGGAACAAAAAGTTTTCGGTTTGTCTTGATGCCATAAAGTTCAGAGGAAGAAGCCAGTGTGTCCATACCAGCAACCTTTTTCTTAGCAAGTCAAGTTAGGCATCTTCCAAAGGGAAGGGTATGCAGAACGAGCTGAAAAACACTGCTTGATTTATCTTTAAACTTGCCCTTGGGACTTCCCTGGTGGTCCAGCGATGAAAGACTTCATGCTCCCAATGCAGGGGGCCCGGGTTCGATCCCCGGTCAGGGAACTAGATCCTACATGCCGCAGCTAAGACCCAGCACAGCCAAATAAATAAATAAATATTTTAAAAAAACAAAAAACAAAAAAAACTTCCCCTTTTGTTGGTTGATGCCAATTCCATAGTCTTGATTGAAAAAGATTTTTTTTCTAGTTAAAAATCATGGGGAAAATGTTTTGTGCTGTATGTACATAAGTTAAGTTCATGACAGAATGGCAGTATGTTATTTATTTTATCCTGAAGGTAAAACAGAAAGCTAGGACCATTACTTAATGACTGGTTGATTTTGTCTAAGCAGACATTTCGGCAGTCAGTTGGAGAATAGAGAGAAGCCAGCAGGGAACGTTTTGTTAAAGTTAATTATAGTCCCCTAGAGTTTATATGTCCTGGGAAATATCTACAGATAGGGAAACAGCAGCAGCCATGAAAATGTCCTGTTTATAAATACATCTTTTTAAATACAACCATGAGACGTGATGGGTGGGCTTGTTTATCTCTTACAGCTGCACAGATGTCCCAATCTCTCTGACTTCCAGCAAAAAATTTCTAGTATTCTAAGCCACAATGAAAAACTGCTGAAAGAAAAGGAAGCTCTAAGTGAAGAATTAAATAGCTGTGTTGATAAGGTAGTAAAAATAAGACTTTTTTACAATCATTGGACAGCGTGTACCATAATGAGCATTTCTCTAATGCCAGTGGCACGTGGGCGGCTACATGTTAGCCTAAAAGTCTCCTAGAACAGCATTTTGTGACCCTGAAGCCATGATTTTTTTTTTCTCTTATTGAAGTATAGTAGATTTACAATATTGTGTTAGTTTCAGGTGCACAGCAAAGTGATTCGGTTATACGTGTATGTGTGTGTATGTACTTCTTTTTTTCCATTCTTTTCCATTATAGATTACAAGATATGGAATATAATTCCCTGTGCTATACAGTAAATCCTTGTTGTTTGTTTTAGATATGGTAGTGTATATCTGTTAATCGCATACTCCTAATTTATCCCTCCCTCCTCCTCCTCTTTTGGTAACCATAAGTATGTTTTCTATGTCTGTGAGTCTGTTTCTGTTTTATAAATAGTTCATTTGTACCATTTGTTAGATTCCAGATATAAGTGATATCATGTAATATTTGTCTTTCTCTAACTGACTTCACTTAGTATGATAATCTCTAGGTCCACATTATTTCATTCTTTTTTATGGCTGAGTAATATTCCATTGTGTGTATGTATCTTCTTTATCCATTCATCTGTCAGTGAACGCTTAGGTTCCTTCCATGTCTTGGCTGTTGTAAATAGTGCCGCTATTAACATTGGGGGGCATATATCTTTTTTAATTAGAGTTTTTGTCTTTTCTGGATATATGCCCAGAAGTGGGATTGCAGGATCATATGGTAACTCTATTTTTAGTTTTTTAAGGAACCTCCATACTGTTCTCCATAGTGTCTGCACCAGTTTACATTCTCACCACAATGAAGGAGGGTCCCCTTTTCTCCACACCCTCTCCAGCATTTATTATTTGTGGACTTTTTGATGATGGCCATTCTGACTGGTATGAGGTGATCCCTCACTGTAGTTTTGACTTGCATTTCTCTAATTATTAACAATATTGAGCATCTTTTCATGTGCCTGTTGGCCATCTGTATGTCTTCTTTGAAGAAATGTCTCTTGAGGTTTTCTGCCCATTTTTTAATTTGGTTGTTTGGTGTTTTTGTTTTTTTGTTTTGCTTTGATATTTAGTTGTATGAGTTGTTTGTATATTTTGAAAATTAATCCCTTGTTGGTCTCATCGTTTCTGCATGTTTTCTCCCAGTCTTAAAGTTGTCCTTTTGTTTTGTTGATGGTTTCCCTTTTTAAGTTTAATTAGGTCCCATTTGTTTATTTTTGCTTTTATTTCTTTTGCCTTGGGAGACTGACCTAAGAAAATATTGCTATGATTTATGTCAGAGAATGTTTTGCCTATTTTCTCTTCTAGGAGTTGTATGGTGTCATGTCTTATATATACGTCTTTAAGCCATTTTGAGTTTATTTTTGTGTATGGTGTGAGGGAGTATTCTAACTTCATTGTTTTACATGTAGCTGTCCAGCTTTCCCAATGCTGCTTATTGAAAGAGACTCTCTTTTCTCCATTATATATTCTTGCCTCCTTTGTCCAAGATTAAATGACTGTAGGTGTGTGGGTTTATTTCTGGACTCTCTATTCTGTTCCATTGATCCATATGTCTGTTTTTGTGCCATTACTGTACTGTTTTCATTACTATAGCTTTGTAGTATTGTCTGAAGTCTGGAAGGGTTATGCCTCTAGCTTTGTTCATTTTTCTCAAGGTTGCTTTGGCAATTTGGGGTCTTTTGTGGTTCTATATAAATTTTAGGATTATTTGTTCCAGTTCTGTGAAAATTGTCATTTGATAGGGATCACATTAAATCTGTAGATTGCTGAAGCCATGATTTTAACAGGAGTCTAGATTAGTTGTTTAGTAAATATTAAGTATGGTAATATAAAGTTTGTCTTATTTTAATAAGTAACTATGCTACTTAATATATATTATTTAAATATATCACTATTCTACTTATATATAATATAAATAATATAAATATTATGTATTTAATAATCTGAAATCCATTACATAGACACTTTTTTTTTCTACTGTATTTTCCCTAGCAAATCCAAAAACACTGCCTTTGTGCCACCTGCCTTAATAGGCATTCCATATTTTCCTATTACGGCACACTCTTGGGTTGCCTTCCAGCCCACCATGTCTCACCCAAAAACATGAGGCAATGAGAAGGAAAAATTGAAATCCCCAAAGAGAAGAGACTCCTCAAAATTAAAGGTACAAAGGGAGTCAAGGAAATGTCTCTCTTTTACCTTGTCTTGATCCCCTATGTAGAGAGATGGTACTTGATCTTTTCAGTATAAGTGAAGGCATGTGAAATGAGGCTAGACATGTGTGTAGAAATGCTGTTACCTCTTTTCTTTTCCTGAATCAGTTGGCAAAATCAAGTCTTTTAGAGCACAGAATTGCTACTATGAAGCAAGAACAGAAGTCTTGGGAACACCAGAGCGAAAGCTTAAAATCACAGCTAGTGGCTTCACAGGAAAAGGTATGTGGACAATTCTTATTTCATCTGCACAGTTAATATTTTCCTATATCTCCCAACAGAACTCCAAATGGGAAGAATGTTCCAGGTGGATATGGTCTAAGAGGGCTCAGAATGATTCAATTTAACTAATATTTGACACCTTACAGTATAGTAAAATAATTTGAACAATGTTTCTCCCAAAGTTCATTATTATGAAATAATCATAAGATTATCTCATCATTATGAGATTATTTATGAAAGCTTGAGAATAGTGTGTAAAAATGACTGCTTATTTCTAATTTAGAATTAGGATTTCTAAGGCAGGTTCATGCCCTATTATAGTTAAAGCTCCCTATTAACATTCTGTTTACCAATTTAAATTTTTTAAAATTGAAATATATATGAGCTGTTAGCATGGAGTAGGGTTCTACAAAGATATGTTTTTATTTTCATCTAAGAGGTCCTTTACAAACCAACATCACAGTCTAAAACGTAATTTCTACAAAGTTTAGTAAAATCAACTGTCGTGATGCCTGTTGGTATTCCTTGGTTCTGTAAGATATCACTTGGTAATATACCAGATGACTATACCAGCAATACCTTGCTCTAGGCATAGTTCATTATTGTCCTAAATATAACAACATCCTGTAAAGGATACATAATATCCTAGATTTGCACTGAGCAACTGAAAAGGCCTGGATATAGTAAGTAGAAGCAGAAGGGACCTTGGAGTTCTCTTGTCTTAGCTCATTCATACATGGACATGCTATAGGTGAGACCATGAGGATTTGTCGCAGTGTATGACTGTTCTCATGATGCAGGTTCAGAATTTAGAAGACACCCTGCAAAATGTAAACCTGCAAATGTCCCGAATTAAATCTGATCTACGAGTGACTCAGCAGGAAAAGGAGGCTTTAAAACAAGAAGTGATGTCTCTACACAAGCAACTTCAGGATGCTGGTGATGAGGTAATTTCTTTTCTTCTTTATTGAGATATAACTTTATAAAGTGCATAAATTTTAAGTCTATAACTTGATTGTTTTTACACAATATATGTGTGTATATGTAAATATACACAGTTATAGGTAAAATATATATGTATGTTTGTGTAACCACCACCTAGCTCAAAATAAAGAACATTTCCAGCACCCAGGAGGCTCTCTTGTGTCCCCTTCAGTTGATAACCCCAAGGGAACCACTTCTCTACCTTCTGCCACCATAGGTTAGGGATGCTTGTTTCTGAACCTCACATAAATGGAACTATAGTGACAAGGTAATTGTGCAAGTCAGAAGACCATGGCTGAGTTGTTTTGTAGTAATAAAACAAAAACGTTTTGATGCTGTAGAAAGTAAGTCTCGTTTTAATATATCACAATGCTGTTTCATCTATGTGCAAATAAATTAAGAACAATGTATGTATGTCAGTCTTGGGTAGATGTTAAGACTTTGTCCTACCATAAAAGTAGGCACTAAATTCAGCTACTTTATCTCTTGGTGATACTTTTTTTTTAAACTGTGTTTTTTTAAAAAAAAAAACATAATAGTTGCTTCCATTTTTTAAAAATTACTTCTGGGCTGAAAATTTTTTCAAAATGAGATTGTACCTTTTTTTTTTTCCTTTTCATGTTTTGGCTTAAAAGGCAAAACGTGAAAAAGAAAAAACCCTAACCCTAACCCTTTTTTTACCTTTAAAAAAATTTTTTTTAAAGCATTTTTCAGGATCCAAAAAAATCACCATGGTAGCTTAAAGCATATTCCTGAGTTCAGGCCTCAATTATGTGGATGATATGTGCTTTGGATTCTAAAAAAGGATATGATTGCATGTGTGAAAATGAAAGTAGAGTTTAGCATGTGAAATCTTTCAAGTTAGCAGTGCATTTCAGAGTTCTCTGTGTTCTCTGTTAACCAAAAGGATAGTTATTTGGGTTCAAAGCATAACTTCATAAGAATGAGGTAATTTTTAAGGTCCCCGATCTCTATGCGCTTGGGTCCTATATGGAACTGGGACTTGCCGTACAATCATCTTTGCTATTAGATTTGACGGGACTATTTTGCCAAAGATCATTTTAAACAGAGAGTTTCCAAACCTTTTGTTTTTAAATCAACACTCAAGAATATTGTTTTACTTATATCTAGATATACATGTGCTCACTCTCATTAGAAGATGCTCAAAAAAGAAATCAGCTTGTTTTTAAGGCTTAACTCTACAATTCTCTCTTAAGAACTGGGCCCCAGAAATAGGCACCCATCCATCAGGATTCCATAACCAACAGCAAAGGCTGTCCTGGGACAAGTTGGATCACCTGATGAATGAGGAACAACAGCTGCTTTGGCAAGAGAATGAGAGACTCCAAACCGTGGTACAGAACACCAAAGCAGAACTCATACACTCCCGGGAGAAGGTAACTTGAAAAGTTGTACATGGTGGCATATGTTTGTATATGAATGTTTGATAAAACTGCAGTGATTCTAGGGTATGGATTTGAGTATTCTGGTGTGGCAGACTTATTTTAAGAATGTATAATTTATCATTTACTTGCAATATAATTTTATCATGCTATGTTGATATAATATTTTTCATTTTGTATAAGCAGTTCTATATTAAAATCTGTGATTTTATGAATGGAAATTATGTTAACCATATATTCCTCATTCAAATAGGCTAGCCGCCAAGACTGGTAGTATAAAAATGGCAAAACTAAACTCAGTTCTTGTTGGTCTAACTTCTTGTAAGAGAAAAGGTGCCCCTTTTAAAAGACTTAGCATTTCAAGGCTAGAATGATCTTTAAAGATCATCTTTTTCATCACTAAGCTGATGTTTAAATTCTTTACCTCTGCTAAGTAGTTGACCAGCTAGGTTTAACCTATGCTTAAATACCTCTTTTGAGGAGGAACTCTCTTAGGAGTCACAGATATTCATTTAGAACACCTACCATGTGCCAGAAACTCTGCTATCACTGAAGTTGCAGTGTTGAACAGACTAAACATGGTCACTGTCCTCGTGGAACTTAGTTGATGTAAATGCATTGTTTCAGGTGTGAGCAGTCCAATACAAAGTCAATGGGACTGTCACCCCCTTCACTCCTAAAAGTTATGCTCACGTCAGAGCAAAGGTGCCTACAGACTATGTTTTTTTGGCAGCCACATCACACTATTGACTCCCAGTTGTTTGGCTGAGCCAGAAGTCCCTTTGTCCTTCTCTGATCCTCAGTGTTGCATCAGACTAAAAATAGATTTACCTAGAAAGGATCTTTTGAAATCCAAAAAAGTAATAAGCTTCAAGAATTGGCAGACTTGACTGGAAAAAGTTTTCTTAATAGAACAAAACCCAAGCACTGAATACAAACTTTCCTTATGTTCACTTTTTGTTTTTCCTGGCTGGGTGGTTATATTAGCATTTCTTCCTCTTATACTGGTTCTTGTTAGGTCCGTCAACTGGAATCCAACCTTCTTCCTCCTAAGCTCCAAAAACATCTAAACTCATCAGGTACTGTGAAGCCCACAGAGCAGGAAAAGTCGAGCTTAAAGAGAGAGTGTGAACAGTTTCAAAAGGAACTATCTCCTACTAATAGGAAGGTGAGTTTTTGAGAGTTAATACCAAGTGGCTATGTTCTGACTATGATGCATCCCTAAAGTGTATGTTTCTTCCCCTGCATGCTTCCAGGAAATGATTACAGTGGCATATTTTGGTTCTTCCTTATCTCTATGCTTTTGTAATCTTGTCAAAACGGTATCATAGTTCTTTTTGATTGAGTGACCGCTAGAAAGGAGCAATTTAAGTTTTTATAAAGAAGGTGGTTAATTATCTTCATTAGTATCATAAGCTTCTATAAGTTAGTAAAACATATATAGCCTGAATATTAGGAACATCTTAATATGGTCTGTATTAGTTAACTATTGCTGTGTAATAAATTAAAACAACAAACGTTTATTGTCTCAGTTTCTCTGGGTCAGGGATTTGGAAGCAACTTAACTGAGTGGTTTTGGCTTAGGGTCTTTCCTGAGACTGCAGTCCAGATATCAGCTGAGACTGCACTTATCTGAAGGCTTCACTGGTACTAGAGAATCCGTTCCAAATGTATTCGTATAACTGTTGGGAGGAGGCTTCTGTTCTTTGCTAGCTGATTGCCAGAGGCTCAGCTCCTCACCACCTGGGCCTTTTCTCAGGATGTGGCAATGAATGATACAAGAGAGAGAGGCCCCAAAAGACCAGGATAGAAGCTGTAGTATGTTTTATTTGCTAATCCCAGAAGTCACACACCATCATTTCTGCTGTATTCTATTGGTCACACAGACTAATCCTGGTGTAGTGGGGAGGGGACAAGGCAAGGGTTTGAATACCAGAAGACAGGGATCACTGGGCACCCTCTTGGAGGCTGGCTACTACGTGGTTAAACTTCTGTAGCATGACTCAGTTTGTTTTCTATTCTTGGTTCCATGAAGTTAGAGTTCTAGGCCAGTGTTACCGTGGGAGCTCTTGTTGTTACTTGTTTTCCTTTCTTTTTCTAAACTAAACTCAGAGTTTTCACTACAGGCACACCTTGGAGATTTTCTGGGTTCAGTTCCAGACCACCACAATAAAGTGAGTCACACGAATTTTTTGGTTTCCCAGTGCCTATAAAATTGTTTCCACTATACTGTAGTCTGTTAAGTGTGCAATAGCATTATGTCTAAAAAAACAATACATATTTTAATTTAAAAATATTTATTGCTAAAAAATGCTAATAACCATCACCTTCAGCAAGTTGTAGTAGTAACATTGAAGATCACTAATCACAGATGACCATAACAAATATAATAATAAAAGTTTGAAATATTGTGAGAATTCTGAAAATGTGACACAGAGTGAGCAAATGCTATTGGAAAAATGGCACCAAAAGACTTGCTCGACACAGGGTTACCACAGACCTTCAAATTGTAAAAAAACTCCGTATCTGTGAAGCACAGTAAAAGCGAAGTGCAATAAAACAAGGTATGCCTGTATTACCTTCCTCTTCTGAAAATTATGGTTTGTTTAAAAATCTGGAAAGAATGATGAACAGTCATTTCCTTTTGTTATAAATATTTCAAAAAAATGTTTTTAAGTTTGTGAAAGTTATGACCATTGGCAGTAAAGAGACTGGTTGTGCTCTGAAGCTGAAATGTCATTTAAGTTTAGGTACACTCAAGTAAACTTTTCAGAAAGACATTGGGTTTCATCTAGCTGCTTACCAAAGGAAAAGTCTAATGATAGGTTTTAAAATAACAGTGCATTTAAATGTACTTAGAAAGATTACACTTAATTCCATTTAACAATTCTTGCTACCCTCCTCAGTTCTTTTTTTTTTTTTTTTTTTTTTTTTTTTTC